ATGATAATACCATGCACACGAAAATCTTGCAGAGCAGATAAAATATTTATTACTAAGACATTCTGTCATCTACAATTAAATATGGAGCAATTGTCTTCTCTTTCCAAGCTGCCCCACTTTCTACCACTACAGGACTGGCCTTAAGCACAGAAAGAATAGTGGTATGGTTGCTGAATGGAAAGAGGCCAAGAAAGTCTTGACTAAAATCTCTCCAGCACTAAGGCTTAATACTCTACCATTAATAATCGTAGTTAATCATTTGGGTTAAATTATGAGCCTTTGGTACCTTTATTTCAAATGCAAGCATCCATGGGACCTGGTAACATTGCACCCTTATGTTACTGTAAAGGAGTATTAGAAAGCTTTTCTCTGGAGTAGGCAAAATGGTGGGCAAGAAATGAAACTGGTAAGGTGGATTTTAAGAGAAATGAGAATTGACTACACATTTTGTATCTTTGCTTCTGGTCAAATGTGTGTCATAGTTCTAATGAAAGGCTTTCTTTTTAAATGAATTTTCTCAGTTTTAAAACCGTCCCATGTCCCTCACACAAATTGGCCTTGCCAGCAACAGGCTTTAAAAAAAAGGCATTCTTGTGCCAAAGCTGCCTCAAGCAGCTTAGTCAAAACTAAGAATAGTAAGCAGCCTTGCTTCTCGACAGTCTTTTTCCTTTATGCTTCTTCTCAAAAGAGGCCTTGTTCATTCCTAACCCTGAGAGAGGGCTTACTGCTCCCTGGGATATTTGGTGAAGATGCTCATTCTACTAGTTTCAAAAGAACCACAACCACAATTTAAAGTCTTAATAATTTGTTTCCTAATCATAGTTTTGTTAATTTAGTCTGCTTATTCCATAGCCAGTATGGAGGAGATGAACAAGTGCAAAGATAAGAAAATCACATTATTCATTGGAGAAAATATCTTTTCTATGATTCTTCTCATGATTTTCAGAAATTTTATTAATATGAGTTGTTTCAACATTTAAAGATTTCTAATAGGGTAATCATCAGCAAAATTTTACTAGAAATTTTGCTGAAGATAATTGAAAAACAGTTGCAGCAGTACATCGATGGGGAACTGTCAGAAATTCAAGCTAGATTCAGAAGAGGACGTGGAATGAAGGATATCATTGCATGGAACTTTAGGCTGAAAGCGAGAATACCATAAAGATGTTTACCTGTGTTTCATTGACTACGCAAAGGCATTCGACTATATGGATCATAACAAGTTATGGCTAACATTGTGAAGAATGGGAACTCCAGAACACTTAATTGTGCTCAGGCGGAAACTACATAGACCAAGAGGCAGTCGTTTGAAGAAAACAAGGGGACACTGCGTGGTTTAAAATCAGGAAAGGTGTGCATCAGGGTTGCATCCTTTCTCTATTCTTATTCAATCTGTATGCTGAAGAAATAATCCAAGAAGTTGGACTGTCGGAAGATGCACGCAGCATCAGGATTGCAGGAAGATTCATTAACAACCTGCCTTATTCAGATGACATAACCTTGCTAGCTGAAAGTGAAGAGGACTTGAAGCACTTACTGATGAAAATCAAAGACCACAGCCTTCAGTATGGATTACACCTTAACATAAAGAAAATAAAAATCCTCACAACTGGACCAGTAAGCAACACCATGATAAATGGTGAAAATACTGAAGTTGTCAAGGATTTCATTTTACTTGGATCCACAATCAATGCCCATGGAAGCAGCAGTCAAGAAATCAAACGACATATTGCACTGGGCAAATCTGCTGCAAAAGACCTGTTTGAAGTGTTAAAAAGCAAAGACGTCGCTTTGAGGGCTAAGGTGCACCTGACTCAAGCCACGGTATTTTCGATTGCCTCACGTGCATGCTAAAGCTGGACAATGAATAAGGAAGATGGAAGAATTGATGCCTTTGAAGTGGTATTGGTGAAGAATGTTGACTATACCACGGGCTTCCAGAAGAATGAACAAATCAGTTTTGGAAGAAGTACAGCCACAGTGCTCCTTAGAAGCAAGGATGATGAGATTTTGTCTCATATACTTTGGATATGTTATCAGGACAGCCAGTCCCTGGGGAAGGACATCATGCTTGGTAAAGTAGAGGATCAGTGAAAAAGAGGAAGACCCTCAGTGAGAGGGATTGACCCAGTGGCTGCAATAATGAGGTCAAACATAGCAACGATTGTGAAGATGGCGCAAGACTGGGCAGTGTTTCATTCTGTTGTACGCAGGGTCACTATGAGTCAGAAGTGACTCGATGCCATCTAACAACAACAGGGTAAACTTTCTGGGTCACAGGTCTAGGTGTTTTCTTCTGATCATGTGCTCAGGATGAGCAGTTGTCTTAACCATCTCCACTATTCCCCATTGTTGACAAGCTAACTAAAGTTAGAAACAGCTGCATGAACAATGATACCACAGCCAGGCAACCAGTTCTTTTAAAAATATGACCACAAGTTATGTGGGGATTATATGGGAGGTTAAGTTTTCATATTGGAATGTTCAGGTAACATAATCAGGTATGGCTAGATTTTTCAGTTGTTGAAGGTAGTTCATGCATATACATAGTACCTTCCACTTGTATCTGCCTGCAGTAGTCCTGAATTTGAATTTGAATTGGGGAAGTCACAGGAGTTTAGATTTAAAATGGATTTCCACTCTAACCAAAAGAAGAAAGTCCAAGCAACTGAAGACTTTTGTTGAGGGAGCTCATGTGTCAGAAAGAAGCTGATCTCATTTCACATACTTATAGCACTATGAACATTCTTTGGCCTTATAAATCATCTTCAGAGGAAGAACTTACGTTCTGACTCATGATTTATCAGTCTTAAATTTCTTAATCCAAAGCAGACTTAAAATTTCATGGTTCAGAATTAGTGTTAAGGATCATCATATAGTTTTCAAATAGTTCATGGTGCTATGGGTATGTGAAATTGATCTTTCCCATATAAACATGCAGATGTAATGGTTATTAGGTGATGACTGAGCCTCTCTTCATTTCTCTAGACTAAAGGTTATAATGTATGTCGTATTCCAGTGGGGAAAAAAGAATATAAAATTTTATTTTCCAATAGATAAATGTTATTGACTGAATATGTTTTTCAAAATAATTTCTGGTTTCCTTAGATGTGGTAGTTAGTACACCTATATTTGCAGATTCTGACTATGTGGGGACAAAGTTCCTGCCAAAGTTATTTGTGAATAACTAATGGTACGGTCCCTTTATATCTCAACCCCTTGTAACTGACTTTGTCCTTTTCTGCTAAAATCTAACACATGCATATTTAAACAACAAATGTCACAGAGTTTAATATCAATTGGTTATTTTTTAAATATACCCACTGTATATGACCTTTTACCCATTTTCCTGAGCTCTAATGGAGAACTAGGAGCCCTGGTGGCATAATGATAAAGTGCTTGGCTGCTAACCAAAAGGAACCCACCAGCTGGAACCCAGCAGCTGCTCTGCGGCAGAAGGATGTGGCAATCTGCTTCCATAAAGATTTACAGCCTTGGAAACCCTACAGGGCAGTTCTTACTCTGTCCTATAGGATCACTATGAGTTGGAATCGACCTGACGGCAGTGGGTTTGGTTTTAGTTTTAATGGACAAATAGTTTTCAAACTTTGATGCTAAAGCGCTTTCGTTCTTTCTGAATGCCAGTTATTTGTCAATTAAAATGTTTTATGTGGTCTCTGTGCTTGATTTAGTTTATAGCTTAAAAGTAATGTTCAACAGATTTCATTTGCCATATAAAGCAAACGTGCAAAAATCGCATCAGCATAATAGTTTCCATGTATGCATGTCTGCTAGGGCTTTACAAATAATTGTATCCAAGAAGTGTTAGAAGATAAGGTCATGGTTCTGTTTTCACAATATGCAGAATATGAAATCAGCATTTTGAGAAAGCATTTTCTAGGGCAGATATGTTTTTCTGCATTAGAGATCTAAAATCCAGCATGTGCACAGTCCTTATTCCCTTCCAAATAATTTGTTTGCTGTCATTTAAAAGAATTTTAATACGTTTTTCTGACTTTTTCTATCAAAGCTCAAATTTATCAACCATGACATTGTTCACTCTTACTGTTAAATGCATCCATATAATATGAGAAGGCTTATGTTTTCTCTGTACTTTTTTTTTGCTGATAATATGAAAAGAGAATTGCTTATCCTTCTTGAGTATAGAGAAGAGCACATAAGGGATATGTTTAACGGAACAAGACTGCTTAAAATTTTGGGGTATTGGTCAGGTTGAACTGTTTTTAAGACTGTCACAATCTATACCCTATTCTCAGTGCATAGCCATAAACTCTGTTTACACACAAGTTAGAATTGTCATCATTGGAGGCAACGCTCACTTTTTTTTTTTTGTTTTGAAGGACCTCCTGGAAAATGTTCATAAAATAATTGTGGAAGGAATCGAGCAAATAACGTTCTTTTCCTGCTACTAAATCGCATGTTAGGTCTTTTCTTCTGAAGTATAATAATGTCTAATAATTAGTCAATATATACTAATGACTAATATCCTAGATGATCAAAATGTCAAGACTTCATTGACATCTGTCACCTGAATTGCTCCTCAGAGCCTTAATGAATTTATACATGGTGACTGTAAGAGAGCACTGGGAGGTGGAGGGATCTAGGACAAAATGTCCTCCACGCCCTAGCACACAGAGAACAGGATGAATGGGGAAAATGCTAACCAATAAGACAGAGTTGTTAAAAGTCTGTGAAAGTAAGAAACTTTCTTGCTTGGAAGCCACAGGAATATTCTGTATTTATAAATCTAATTATAAATTACAAGTAAGAAAGTATTAAGAACATTATTTATATTTTGGGGACATATTTAGATTCCCATTATAGGTCCACTTAGCAGACTTGTCTTCTATTGAAGATCACTCTGAGTGCATTTTGAAGATTATGAATGTTTTGGAGTGTGTACATATTTTGATTTATTACAAGTGAATATTAGTGTTCTCGTTTTCAAGACATCACCTCTTTCTTTTTATGAACTGCAGCTCCAAGAGTCATTCAAAGATACCAAAAAGAAATTCAACAATTTGAAGTTTAATTATAGTAAGAAAAATGAAAAAGCACGGAATCTGAAGGTTCTTAAATATCAAATTCAACAAGTTGATATGTATGCTGAAAAAATGCAGGTAACAAGAGAGTGATGTGTGTGTGCGTGTTACTTTAGTTATTGCAGAATCATTTTGCATTTCAATTCTAGATGCCTACCCCTTGTTTTTTGTTTATTTTATTTTATTTTTTTTTACAGTGTGAGAACTAAAAGAGTAGTTTTACATTTTATAATAATTGGGATCTTCATGTAAAATATATAATAATGACTTATCCCTTGAGGCAGCTCCGGAATGGTTTCTGGTTTCTTCCAAAACTACCCAGCCATCTCTGCTTCCATTCGTTCCCCCAACACGCGCACGCGCGCGCACACACACACTCACATACTCACATTCCTTTTCGTACACTCCTCTTCCTCTCCCTGCATCTGCCCATGTAGGAGTTTCCTCCACTGCCCTGCAATCCCTTATATCTACCTTGTAACAGCTAGATTATTTGAATGCCTTTACCAGGAGACAATGAATTTATTGGGATAAGTATTTGATTTTATGATATTGTCTTTTTTATCATATTATCACTCTCAAAACCTGGAATAGACCCTGCTGTATAGTAAATTTTCTTTATGTTTGATGAATGTTGAATCAATAAAGTATCTTGAAGAAAACCCATTCTTTCCAAAATACATCTGTGATAGTTATAATCTTAACATATCAGAATGGAGAAAACTACACAAGATCTTCTAACTTTTTCTCTCGATGTTTAATCACTGTAGTGTAATAAATAAAAATTGAATGTTATTAAAAACCTTTTGTTGCACAGGCTTTGAAAAGGAAAATGGAAAAAATTGAGAACAAAATTTCTGATTCTTTCTTAAATTATCCAAGTAATAAAGTTAATGTCCTTTTGGAGGCCTTGAAGGATTTCCAAAAACATGTGGATGTGTTTGACAAAGTTGTGACAGATTACAAGAAGAACTTGGACCTGATGGAGCATCTCCAAGAGATGATAGAAGAGGTATTAAGCCATTGCTGATCTTTACATGCCAAATTTGAGAACTTAATGATGGGAGGGAAGTTGACTTTCATTATGTGGTCAAATGGCACTTGCGGCAGAACACAATTCTACAAAGTGTGTTCTATGTGGTTCTGATTCAGTGCCATAGATTGACTCAGAGTCTCTGAGAATTCTTGTAATAATAAGCCATCCTACTCCATATTCATGTGTCTGCCAACTCAATTGAGTTGTGGAATCAGCTTCTGTTCGCTAACTACTTACGATTTTTCTTTTCTGAATGTAATAACCACACCTGTCCATTGGAAATTCGAAGGAACAGTTCGTAAAATAACTTGTATTTGTATAAATTTTGGTTCTTACTCTAAATCCTTTAATCACTTCTGTGATACTTTATATTCCCCCAAAACTTATGAGATAGTTGGTGTAGGTATTATTATTCCTATTTTACATACGAAGAAATTGACCTCCAGAGTGGTTAATTTACTGACCCATTTTGCAATTATGAATTTAAAAACATGGGAGGCTTTCTACACACTGAGTAAATAAAGTGTTTTCTATCTCTGGATCATATTGAATAGTTGTCAGAGTTAACAAGTTTGAATCTGGTCATTCTTTATTCCCCAAAAAGGATTATGATGATGTCATAACTTTGAGTGATTACAGATTGTGTAAAATTGCACACAAATCTTTCATATCTTACTTTAACCATTTGGCTTTCATCTTTCACACAATAAATCTAGGGAATAATGCCTCCCAACCTTCTATTTGTCAGGATTTCTAGAGCTTTGATTAGCCCAGAACAGTTTGATCAGAATAGTTAATGATTTTGTGTTTCTTCAGTTTAAATATCTATAGATATTTGATATGAAATGACACCTTGAAAATAAACTGATAGAAACTAAAAATAACTTTTAAAATAGAAGGGTTTTAAAAACATATAGATCTCTAAAATGTAAAGATTTTGAAAATACTGATACAAAAGAAGAAGAAAATAAATACTACCCATTAACTCACCACTCAGACACCACCATTCATATTTTCAAGAATATTTTTCCAGGTGAATACATGTTTGTTAATAAGATTAAATACTATATATTGTTTTAGCTTTCAATGTAGTTAAATATTCTCTGTGGCATAATTTTAATGATTATATCATAATTTATTTAATCATTCTCTATCAATGTTGTTTTAAAAAGTTATTTTGCTACTTTAGCTGGTATTGTCATTAAATCCATTTATCTTGCCACTTTCATGGTTATTTCCTTAGGATAATTTCCTAAAGTAGAAATAGCACCAAAGACAATGAATGTTTCAAGATTTTTTATTGTATTGTCCAATTGCTCTTTATAATGATTTTACTAATTTACTCTTACCAGCAACATATGAAAGTTCCCATTTCTCCATATTTACATCAGTATAAGATGTTTAACTATCATGGAATTATAGTCACGATTCTATACAACAGGATGTCTATTTAGAATATTCAGAATAGCTTATTTATTTCACAGAATTTTAGAAAATTCAGAAAAAAGTAATATTGTGATTTTTCACGTATAAAAATAGTTATTGGTATTATTTTTGTTATTTTTGAGAGGATAAATGGTAGAGTATACATAAAATATATGAAATTTGATAAGTTAAAGTTATTTGCACCCTTCATATTGAAGAAACTCTGTACTTAAAGTTCTTGAGTGCTCTTTGTAACCCATTATTCTGAGATACAAAACATCTATCCTTACACCTAATGCAGTTGAGTTTTTAGATTTAACACTGCATTAAGAGGATCAAAATGATCAATCTTCTATATCTGATACATCTAATATATAGGTTTACTGTACCTCTGTGGCACTTATTAAAGCCAGCTCCTAATAGAGTTGTGTTTCTATTTCTTACCCAGCATAAGTGCTCCTGGCCTGTGTCAGACATATTCCTTCCATCACAGTTATTTATTTTTAGTGAGAAACTGTCTCGGTCTCCACTGTGCTTTGAAAATATGACTATTCTATTCAAAAAAGTCCAATTCTCTCCTTTAAATGATATTTCCTCCATCATAGACTAAATCTCACTCTTAAAAGAGCATTTATTTATTAGCATATTTATCAGATAATGTTTTATCCATCTATTGTTAATGATTTCAGCTAATTATGTTGGATTTTTCCTGTTTTGGGGTTTTTTTGCTCTCCTTTTTAGTTGATACTTGTAATATTGCTTATTGTTGTAAGTGTATAACATTCCTCTTAGCAATTATACTTCAGGCAAATGTAAGAAGGCAGGAGAATCAAATGTATTTCCATACTTTATTATCTGCCTCTAATGTCCACGTGCAAAAATATTTTTTTTTTTTAATATTTTCTTCATTATGGCTTAGAAAGTTTAAATTAATGTGAACATATACGTTGAGGAAATTAAAATTTTATAATTCAAAGCTCAAAATTAAGAACTTAAGTAGGATGGTGCCTCTTTAATCTATGCTTTGTTCCATTTTAACTTAGTGTCACTTTTGGTATGAAGACGCAAGTGCCACAGTTGTAAGAGTTGGAAAATACTCCACAGAGTGCAAGACAAAAAAAGCTGTGGAAATTCTCCACCAGCAGTTCAATAAGTTTATCATGCCCTCAGTGCCTCAGCAAGAGAAAAGGATTCAGGAAATCACTGACCTTGCTCAGCGCTTATATGGTGAGATCCCTTTTAAGATAGCCAGTAATTTGCCATAGGACAAATCTATACGGAACCTAATCCAGTAGAAAGTGAGGGCACTGCAAACCCTCAGGGTCCTCAGTACACTGACCTATTAAAGGAAAAGGCTTAAGATAAGAGTCCTCATCCAGCAAAAGTAAACAGTAGGGAATAGAGGAAGGAACTTCTGACAACAGCAGCTGAAACCTGCTGATTTTTAACAACTTTGCGTGAATCCTCCTTCACTATTCTCTTTTCTCCCCCATTCCTGTTGGTCATCTCCAGGGTAGTAAAACCAGAACAATACTCAGCTAATGTAGACAAGAATTATCTGATTTCCACTAGAGTGGTTTCTTAAAAACATACAAAACTCTTGTAATACTTTAGGCGTAGAGCTAAGACTGGAGCCTACAGCTCTCTCATTTCTGTGAAGTTTATGGTTCCTGGATTAAAGAAAGAGATAAATTCTCCCTCGCTTTCTTCTCACTTGTGGAATAAATGTGAGAACTCAAATAATCATGTCACAAATTCTGCCTTCCTCTGCTCCATGACTAGGAAAGATAATACAGTTGTCACCTGAGACGTTCTTCTTCTTAAAGAAGGAAGCACCCATTTAAGGACAGAGCAGGCGAAAAATGTAGAACAGAATTCAAATTCACGTAAAAAGACCAGACTTAATGGTCTGACAGAGACTGGAGGAACACCCAAAACTATGGCCCCCGGATGCTCTGTTAACCCAGAACTGAAACCATTCCTGAAGCCCACTCTTCAGACAAAGACTAGACAGGACTATAAAACAAAAGGAAACCCTTGTGGTGCAGTGGTTATGAGTTCAGCCGCTAACCTAAAGGTCGGCAGTTCGAATCCACCAGGCAGTCCTTGGAAACCTGGTGGGGCAGATCTTCTCTGTCCTCTAGCTTAGTTATAAGTTGGAATCGACTCAACAAGGTTTGGTTTGGTTTTTGGTTTATAAAACAAAAAATAATACACATGAGGAATGTGCTTCTTATTTCAGTTAGATATACGAGACCACATGGGCAGCTCCAGTCCAAAAGCGGGATGAGAAGGCACGAAGGGACAGGAACTGGTTGAATGGACAAAGGAAACCCTGAGTGGAAAGGGGGAGTGTGCTGTCACATTATGGGCATTGCAACCAATGTCACAAAACAATATGTATATAAATTTTTGAATGAGAAATTAACTTGAGCTGCAAATTTTCACCTAAAGCACAATAAAAAAAAAATGTTTTTAAAAAGAAGCACCCCTAAGTGATGACAGTGTTTGAGGGCTCTGAGGAGTAAGTTTTGTGAATTCCATGATATCATTCCCGTGAGACCAAGAGTAATACCAGTGAGCAAGCGAATCTAGCCCAGAAAGAAGACAGCAACAGGTGGTACAAATGCTTCACTTGACTGCCCACAGCTGCTGTCAGCTAGGTATTTTCTCTTGTAACATGAATCACTGTTCATGGATAGCCATAAAAATTTCATAGAACAATATATACTGCAATGCCAAATATTAAATTATTGAGAATAAATTATTCATGATTTTCCAAAGGAAAAAGAAACATAAAAATGATAAAATATAGATTGAAAATTTGATGAAAACTAATGTTACATCTCCTTTTTACTTTAGTTACTGTTTCAATGCACTAAAAAATTTTGGAAGCACTCTGATCCTATAGCATTGTGTATTTCTGTTATTTGTACTTTTCAAATTGTAGTGTAAACATCTTTTGTCTTTTCTATTGACCATAAGCTCCTTGAGGGCAAGAGCAGTGATTTTTATCACTGTATCTCAGTGCCTATTCAGTTCCAGCACATGGTGAGTACTCACACAGGCCCATAAAAGTTACATTCCCTCCTATCATGCACCATCCCATATTCCTGTTTTGTCTGTCTTCCTGGCCCTTATCAACCCACTGTATAGTTATGTGTCTGTTGTCTGTCTTTCCTTACTAGAGTGTAAGCTCCATGAGAGAAGAGATTTCGCCTGTTTACTGCTTCAGGGCATATACTAAGTGCTTAGCAAATATTTGATGAATCATTGAATGAATAATGAATGAATAAATGAATGATCTGAGTCTCCATCCGTTCAGTACAGAAGTTAAGCATTTTTAAAAAATAGGCATCAAATAAGGTACTTGAGGAATATTATATCAACTCTCACAGGCCAGTCAAGGTTTATTGAAACCTGAATTTTAATTCAGATAAATTTACCTCAAAAAAAAAATTGAGTACTTACTATATACTAAGAGTGGTGGTTGATATAAAGTAAATAAGACCTAGTTCTTGCATTCAAGAAATCACAACCGAGGCTCAGAACTCATGATATGTTAAATGCAGTGGAAAGTTATAAAATGTGTAATACAGCTTGGCCTAGGTTGTGGAGTCAGGCAGTCCTGGGTTCAAATCCCTACTCAGTAAGTTAACCTCTTTCGAGCCTCAGGTTTCTCATTTGTAAAATGTGGATAGTAATAGAACCTACATGAGGTTTATATTACATAATGCGTATAAAGTGGTTAGCCATAGGCAAATAATAAGCACTACTCAATACATGAAGCCCTGGTGGTACAGTGGTTAAGAGCTTGGCTGCTGACCAAAAGGTCAGCAGTTTGAATCCACCAGCTGCTCCTTGGAACCCCTGTGGGGCAGTTCTACTCTGTCCTGTAGGGTTGCTCTGAGTTGGAATCAACTTGATGGCAACAGGTTTGCTTTTCTGGCTTTACTCAATACATGGTACTTATTTTTTTGTTATTATTCCAATAGGGAGAGATAAAACCTAATTGGGAAAGATTAAGAACATTTTCACAGAAGTGTTGGTATAGGAGGCAGACCTTCAAGGGTAGGAAGGATTTTGCCAGCAAATATGTAGTGGGGAGGGCATTCCCAGAGTAGGAAAGAATATTCAGCGGCTGTAGAGATTTTGAGGAAGAGTTACTGGTTTAGTTTGGCCAGAGATACAATACATGAGGAGTTACTTACATAGGAAAGGCAGGTTGAAGCCATATTATGGAGGGCCTTGAATGCCATCCTGGGGAATTTATTCTTTTCCAGGCGGTGGAGAACCACTGAATGTTTTGAACAAGAGAAAACTTGATTAGAATTTAGATTTAAGAATATTAATATGACAGTATTATGTTGGTTCCATAATAGTGACATGGTACAGCAAATGTAGTCACTATTGTAGAATACCTGATTTTTCAGAAAAAAAAATCTTTATATGTTTAGCAAGTATTTATTAAACGCTTAGTATCTACCAGCCCTTACGCCAGACATGGGGGTTATAAGTTAATGCCTGGATTTTTTTTTTCTTTTTTTTAATTGAACTTTAGATGAAGGTTTCAGAACAAATAGTTTCTCATTAAACAGTTAGTACTCATATTGTTTTATGACATTGGTTAACAACCCCACGACATGTCAACACTGTCCCTTCTCGACCTTGGGTTCCCTGTTACCAGCTTTCCTGTCCCCTCCTGCCTTCTAGTCCTTGTCCTGGGCTGGTGTGCCCCATTAGTCTTGTTTTGTTTTATGGGCCTGTCTAATCTTTGGCTGAAGGGTGAATGTTGGGATAATGCCTGGATTTTTAAAATTTCTGCTAAAGATTTGACCTTTAAAAATAGTTTTATCGCTTCTCTAGGTTTGGAAGAAGGGAAGAAATATGCTGAGAAAATAGTAGCAAAACACAAAGAGGTTCTTGAATCTGTTACTGAATTATGTGGGTCTCTCACAGAGCTTGGAGAAAAACTGAAGGTACTTTCATCTTCATAGAATATGTATTTTTGAGGGATGTAAATAAAAATGTGTTGATCAAGTATCTTCTAGTACAAAGATGTTCTCATAGAAAATTCTCAAGGGACATGATGTGCACATTTGTTTCACAGCTTTCTACCATAAGTATCTGGGTATTTTTGATAATTAATTCTGTTTCTTTTCTCTCACTGCAGAGAAGAATATTGCTGGGAATGAGGGCTAAACACAATTAAGGTGTCTTGTTTATGTTTTCATGGATTGCATCCTAAAAGATAAATGTGTGCCATTAAGACCAAAGTAAAGTCTATATTAAGTAACCTTATGTTTTTGGTTGCAAATGATAGCTGTAGGGTTCTCTCCCTGCTCCAAATTATGGCCCTAGAGAAAATAAAACTAATCTTCAGGTATTATAGTCATTGATCATTTAGCTTCATGGAAATATTAAACTAATCGTTTCTTTGATTGAATAAAAAATTGATGGTAAAAATACAGAGAAAACGTGCTTATGTCTATGTCTAGGCAACAACCAGTTAAAAGAGAGAAATATAATATTGTTTGCCTATGTCATGTCAAAAACTGGTTTGATCAATGCTGTGTTTACAACTGTCTGTGAGAACTGGTTATTTAGGATGGAGAGAATAGTAAGGTAATTAAGAACACAGGCTTTAGCAGAAAACCAGCTGCTTTGGGATACCAACTCCCCAAATAATTAGATTTGTGACCTTGAGTAAATTGCTTTATCTTCTAGACTCAGCTTCTTGATCCGTAAAATGCAGGAAATAGCACATGATTATTGTTGTGGTTTTTGTTATTGAGGCATAATGGGGTCGTTGTAGTTCAGAGCTGAATTATATTTACTTCTGCCATCTACATTTTCTCGTTTTAAATAACACTACAATGAACATCTTTGTGCATATAGTTTTTTCTTTCTCTTGTATTATTTTCTATGGATAAATTCTCCAAAGTACATTTGGCTAAAAGGATATGAAATTGTTAATGTTTCTAACATATTTGTTAAATTGCTTTCCAAAAATGTTTTATAATTGTAATGCCATCTGTAGCATATATCTTATATTATCCTTTTCAACATTTATCATTTTCTCCCCACCTCAACCTGAGGGCCTGTTTGTTCTGCTGATACCCAAACTGAGAATCACTGCTTCCTCTGCCTCTTTACTTTCCCTTATCTACAACATCCCTCCCATTTACATTGTATATCTTTAAGTAAGATCCAACTTAATAAAATAAAATCTACTCTCTCCAAGTCATATCCCTTCTCCCCTTCATGGCTGTTCTTCCTGAAAAAGTTGTCTCCACTTCCTCTCCCCAGTTCCTATTTCCTATCTACTCTGCATTCCCAGTAATTAGGATTGTACCCTATCTTTCTCATTCTCAGTCCACCACTTTGATTCTCTTTCACACTATTCAGGAGCCTCCTATTTCTACACTTCAGCTAAATTACCCTTCCTAATATAATTCTGCCAGCATCATTTTTGCATTCAAAACACTTCATTGCTTACTGGATAAGTTCAGATTTGGGCCTTTTGATGTTCTCAGGTTAATTTGATACCTTTCCAAACCACTGTCCTACATTCTTTGTAGGCTTCTGTCCAACTGGTCTACTAGTCATTCCCTGGATTCCCTGCTTCTTAATCTTTACTTTGAATACATGACCTTCTATGTCTGCTTATCAAAATCTCACCATTTTTCAAAGTCACATCCAAATACCACCTTCTCCATAAATCCCCCCTCAATTATACCACTCCCTATCTGATCTGCCATAGCACTTTGTGTTCTTTCTTACCATAGCCATCAAATATAACTACCACTACCATCTCAACCACCCTACTTGATTAAACTTAGGAAACACTATGATCTGTTCAGCGTAGAGTCCTCCATAACATTTAACGCCATGCTTTGCCTAAAGCAGGTCCTCCAGAAAGGTTTTTGGCATTTGTAGTAAATGCCCAAAGGATTGGTACAGAGAAGAAGAATCATTGAATAGCTCAAAAATGTTTGATTTGGGTGAATGTAGATGTGAGAAAGGGCCTCTCTGGCAAGAGAAATAAGCGTCAGCATTGCCCTTATGAGTTACAGTCAGAATAAAAGCTTGTCAAAGAATGCTTTTAGAGCACACTTTCAGATGTTTGCATGAAAAGCATAAATGTCTGACCTTCATGTTTTTGAGGTTGATGCTGTGGCTCTCTTTTGCAGGGGTTATTAAAAAGTGGGCCTAGAAGTCTCTGGCAAGGCTGAAATTATGATAATAATCCTTTCCATTTGTATATCAGTTTGAGATTTACAAAAAACTTTTACATGTATTATCTCCATGATCTTCCAAATAACCTTCAGATGGAGATAAGACACTTGTTGCTGTCTTTATTTTAAAGGGAAAGGAACAGGTTCAAAGCAGATAAAATGCTTTTGAACTTAGATCTTCTAATTAAAAATCTACTGTTTATTTTTTCTACAACAGCTGCCATTTTGGAATTAGTTATCAAGTGCATACTAAAGCCGAGTGACTTATCCAGTAATAACAAACCAATTTAGCTTTAGAGTTGATGGTAAAAGCTGAACCTCCCTAGTAGGATGTCTCCTTGAATCCTCTGAGCCAGTGTAGTGTGTGAACTTTGAGGAGCAAAGCCCATCTAATGACCATGTATGTTCCAGATGGAATAGAGAATCTTCTGTTGGGGTATCATCACCACCCTAAAGTGACAGTGTGTTCTGTCACTTGGGGTACCTGTGGGTCTTTCACCGTTACAGAGTCTTCTGGGGCCTCCCACTGGTTCCCCATCTACCTCCATGATTAAAACTGAATCCCATGAAATGAAGGAGCAAAATATCACCACCCACATGAAGCATTCTTTGTTCTCAATTTTTTTTTTCTTTATCATGGTGATATTTCCTCTTTCTTTTCAAGATTCTCCCAAATATTTAACTTGTGTGAATTCTCTAGATTTCCTGCTTTCTTCTCCATCAGAGACTTTTAATCATTTCTACTTCTTGCTGCTCCCCGATCTCTCCTAATGGTTTAAACTCCCATGCACAATGATTCTTTTCTCTAGAGAATGCCCCTGAAAGAGCATCCTATTGTAACAATTACCCTCTTTTCCCTGCTGGGCCTTTGAACAACCAATTTTTACTGACAATGAATTTTATCAAAGAAATGAGACAGGATGGGGGGACCTCTGAGCTTGGAGGGATAATTTTATAAATCACATCAATGGAGTACATCAGTCTCTTGAAACATACGTTTACTGAAAGTTTGCAAGTGGTCTATGTTTTCTTCCAAGTGGTTATTGTATAACACTGTTCCTCTAACTTTCTTGGCCCAGTCTCTCACTAACCATCGCTTTGTACAGCAGGGAGACGTTTTAAAGATAAATCCGAATATGGAAGGCTTCCATGGTTATTGTATTGACCTACTAAAAGAACCAGCAAGAAATAAGCAGACAATATTCAATGAAGAAAGCAATAAGGTAAAGGAGACTACTGAGGCTTGTTATTCATTACTTTTGTTTTAAGGTTAGAGTCATTGTGCTCTGCAAAAAACAAAAAAGTAAATTCATGCCTTCTTATCTGTTTCAGTTGAATCTCTCAGTGTAAATGCAATGTGAGTTTTATCTGGTGGTGCAGTGGTTAAGAACTATAGCTGCTAACCAAAAGATCAACGGTTAGAATCCACCAGGTGCTCCTTGGAAACCCTATGGGACAGTTCTACTCTGTCCTGTAGGGTCGCTATGAGTTGAAATCGACTTGATGGCAGCTGGCTTGGTTTTTTTTGTTTGTTTGTTTACTGCTTACTTAGTTCTACTCTCTCCTGTGCTGTTTTGCTCTCAGTCACTCCTTTAAATACTGGAGCTGTAGCATTTCAGATTGGCCTTGGGACAGCCATTCAAAGGCCATAATGTCACTACAGACCATTTCTATTTCCACCATTTCTAGCTGCATTCCCGTTGTTTTTTTCTATTCAATCTCAACTTTAAATTTTACTTCTTCCTTTTTATCATAACGCAAAGCTATCATTTTTATTGTTATACACTATCCATTAGAAAACCTTAGCATATGAAATTTGATTGTATTTTGTTCTCATAGAATCTACCTCTAAGATGATATTTCCAGTCACATGTACTGAAATTTAGAATCCAGCTGAAATATTTAGAGAAATGTTTAAATAACTTTCAAACCTATGCATTTACAGATAAATTAAGTCATGTAGCAAAAACTGCAAATATTCACAAAATGCAAGTGTATCATGCTTTTGAAAATATTATTTAAATCACAACATCCTTATGGATTTTCTGGATAAGTTTTTCACTCTCTAGGCATAGTTGCTGGACTATAATTAGCTCTTGACTTTTTGCTTTGCCAAGTTGCCTGCTCCCAATGTTTCTCTCCTGAGGAGATGAAGGAATAAGCAGAGTCAACATGATTCTCAACTGCCTCCAAAATAATAAAATATACTTCTTGAGACATGAGAGTTTAAAAAAAAAAAAAATCCTCATTTGTTACAGTTAGCCTATAGAAAAAGATTTATAAATCCTTGACGTCAATACAGTTCTTAGGACTTCCTTTTCCACAAGTGAAATCTATGTCAGGGTCTAGTGTGATTATACAACCACCCAGCAGCAACTACCATTAAACACGCCACCCTTTTGTGGTACAGCCTTGAGGCACTTAAACCCAGGTGCTTCTGTAAGGCAAAGGAAAGCTGCCAAAACTTGGTCTTCTTGTTTGACCTTAGCTTTATTTAAAATGGTCTTTGTTTACTCTGATTTTGTTTAAATCAGGGTTTCTCAATCTCGGCACTATTGAGATTTCTTTGCTGTGGGGAAGTATACTGTTCAGTGCAGAATGTTCAGCAGCATCCCTGGCTTCTACCTACTAGATTCCAGTAGCACCTCCCCCTACCAAGTTATAACAACCAAAAATGTCTCCAGACATGTCAGATGTTCACTGGGGAACAAAATCACCCCGATTGAGAACCACTGGTCAAAATAATAAAGAACAACATTAAATGTACCTCCTTTTCTTGACTAAGTTACTAAAGACAAAATTATATCATTTATTTCATTTTATTCTGCACAGTTTTTTCATTGCAAACTAAGCATATTTTCTAAGAACTCAGAAGCAGAAGTTATTACTACCAAAGCAAACCCAGTAAAAATGGGGTTTCTTGCTTCTATTTGTTTTTCTTAGAAAAACAAACAGATTGATTTGTAAAAAAGGTGAAGTTTATTTTCATTGAGAAAGTAACTTTTATTTTAATATAAATTAAACCACACAATAGACTATCAGTCATTGAGAATAAAAGTGAAGGTATATAATTATGGCTGTCAAGAACTCTGGTCAACATCATTTCATGTACATATTCTGGTGCATTTGGCGCAGACAGTAAAATGAAACATCAGCTGTAATCTTCACTTTTAAACAGCTCAATCACATTTACCCTCTTATCGTCTCTATTATTTGTATTGTAGGTCAGATGTAACAATTCCTTGAAACACTATGTGGGCAGGTAACAGGAAACACGAAAAAAAGCTTGTCGGGAAATCACTGTATTCAATTCTGATACCCTTAAATGGTGTTTCTCTTCCTAGGAAAATTATTAGAGTCAGAAAGAATAATTCCACAAAACTACTACAAAAATGTGTTCATCTCAGGAATTGTCTCCTATAAACATCAGGTGCTTCTCATTTTCCTGACCACAAAATACAGCGGATGGAATTAGGCAATTCAGTAAATACAATGTATGTTGTACTGCTAACAGATTAGTGCTAGCATTTTATCCCCACATTGAGCACTGAAGCTAAATCCACAGTAATATCTGAAGACTCCTAAGGTTAAATGGAGGCACAGAGTATTAAGAGAGTTGCCTAAAGTCACGGAACTATTTGGTAGAAGATGAGGGCTTGCAGTGCCGGCATTTAGAGTTATAGAATTTTAGTGCTGGAAGGGACTTAAAAATCATCTGATCAAATCTCATTTTACAGTTGAGGAAACTGAGGCCAAATGAGATTAAATATCTTCCCCACCAAAAATCACAAAAAATTAGTGTCAGAACTGGGCAGGCAGCCCAACTCTCCTGCATTTCAGGCATGTATTATTTTTTTTTTCCTAGAAGACCAAACGAGAACTCCAAGAAACTGCTGCGTATAAATAAGCTGTTTTGTAATCATACTGCCCCTTTCCATTTCAGCTATTTAAGTAATAGTTAATAAGGCAAAAGCATGAAAAGTACTTTATACCAAACAGTTCAGTAGAGTCTAGTCATACTGGATAAGGACAGTCCCTGGACTCTCTGCCATTAATCCTATTCAACTGGGAGGTGAATTCTGGGCTGGAGAAGATGTTCTTGAGACATTTGCCTTGGGAAAATTGGGAAGGGGTACAAAGTATTGTTCTTCACCACATTTCTGTTCTCTTCTCTTTAATCTTGTCTACCCCAAGTGCCCAAAGATACCAAGTCACCTCTTGGCTTTCCAAAGCCCCCTCTAAGGGCCTTCCCCAGAAATGCCATTTATACATCAGGCCCCAGGCTTGGTATTTTTCTTTCTCTAAGTCCCACTTATCAGCATTAAATTTTGTGTATCCCAGGGCAAGACTATCTGTTGTGGACATATTTTGGAAGGTCACATCTTGTGCTGTCCCTTCAAATTTATAACATAGGTAGCCCCCTGATTTTTGTACTTTGAAAATTTGTTCTACCCAATTAGCTGGATGCATGTAGAACACCATTAAATTCTGCCCTGCCAGACACTTTGTCTGCAGTCATGGTGATGATTGTAAATCGAAGTGATGGAAATGAAAGTTCAGAGATCTTAACAGAGATAAGACCTGAAGCTATAGATTTAGGATTAACTAAAAGTTAATTAACCATTAAATATGAAAATGGGTGAGATATTTGAGGGAAAAAGAATATAAAGAAGATTATTAAAGGGCTTAAAGATAAGACCATAGGTCATTCATATTTAGAAAGTGGAAAAAGAAAAAGGAATCAACAAAAAAGACAAAGATCAAAGACTTAAATATAAAACCTAAAACGATAAATATCATGGAAGAAAAAATAGGGACAATGTTAGGGGCCCTCATACATGACATAAATTCAGTACAAACCATAACTAACAACTGGAAGCTCCTAAAAACTAAACACTTATGTTCATCAAAAGACTTCACCAAAAGAATAAAAAGAGAACCTGCCAACTGGGAAAAAATTTTCAGCTATGATACAACTGACAAGGGTCTAATCTCTAAAATCTGTAGAATACTTCAACACCTCAATAACAAAAAGACAAATACTCCAATTAAAAAATGGGCAAAGCATATGAACAGACAGTCACCAAAGAAGACATTCAGGCAGCTAACAGACATATAAGGAAATGTTTGTGGTCATTAGCCATTAGAGAAAAGCAAATCAAAATTACAATGAGATAGCATCTCATCCCAACATTACTGGCACTAATCAAAAAAACAGAAAATAACAAATGTTGGAGAGGTTGCAGGGATATTGGAATTCTTATACACTGTTGGTGGAAATGTAAAATGGTACAACCACTATGGAAAACGATATGGCACTTCCTTAAAAAGCTAGAAGTACAAATACCACGTGATCCAGCAATCCCACTGCTAGGAATATACCCTAGAGAAATAAGAGCCATCCCAAGAGTAGACTTATGCACACCCATCTTCAATGCAGCATTATTCACATTAGCAAAAAATGGAAACAACCTAAGTGCCCATCAACAGATCAATGAATAAACAAATTATGGTACATACACACAATGGAATACTACTATGCAATAATAAAGAACAATGATGAATCTGTGAAACATTTCACAACATGGATGAATCTGGAGGGTATTATGCTGAGTGAAATAAGTCAATCACAAAAGGACAAATATTATATGAGACCACTATTATGAAAACCCAAGAAAAGGTTTATACACAGAATGAAACAACCTTTGATGGTTACAATGAAGGGAAGGGGTAGGGAGGGGAAATCACTTAACTAGATGGTAGAAAACTGTTAACTTTGGTAAAGGAAAAGACAACACACAGCCTAGGGGAAGTCAGCACAGCTTGACCAAAGCAAAGTCATAGAAGCTTCCTAGACACATCCAAACACCTTGAGGGACCAAGTTACTGGGGCTGAGGACTGGGGACCATGGTCTCAGGGGACACCTAGATCAATTGGCATAACACAGTTCATAAAGAAAATGTTCTGCACACTAATTTGGTGAGTTGCATCTGAGTCTTAAATGCTTGCAAGTGCCCATCTAAGATACATCTATTGGTCCCATTCCATCCAGAGCAAAAGAGAATGAAGAAAATCAAAGACAGAAGGAAAATATTAGTCCAAAGGACTAATGGACCACATGAACCATCGCCTCCACCAGCCTGAGCCCAGAAGATCTAGATGGTGCCAGCTACCACCACTGGCTGCTCTGACAGGGATCACAAAGAGGATCCCAGACAGAGAAGGAAAAAAATGTAGAAGAAAATTAAAATTCACAAAAAAGACCAGACTTACTGATCTGACAAAGACTAGAAGAACCCCCAAGACTATGGCCCCCAGATACCCTGCTAACTCAGAACTGAAGCCACTCTCGAAGTCCACCTTTCAGCCAAAAGTTAGACAGGCCTATAAAACAAACAGTAACACGTGTGAGAAACATATTTCTTAGTTCAGTCAAGTACAGGAGACCAAATGGGCAACATCTGCCCAAAAGCAAAGACGAGAAGACAGGAAGGGACAGGAAAACTGGACGAACAGACACGAGGGACCTGGGGTATAAAGGGAAAGGGAGAGAATGCTAACACATTGCAGAAATTCAACCAATGTCACAAAACAATTTGTGTGTAAATTTTTGAAGGAGAACTAATTTGCCCTGTAAACTTTAACCTAAAGCGCAATAAAATAAAATTTAAAAAAAAAAACAGAACTGAGAGGGGGAAAAAAAAAAAGACAAAGAGGAGACAAAGATACAAAAGAAACAAATTGAGAGCCAAGCTGTGTTTTGGTGAATTTGATCAGAGTTTCCCAGCCTTTTGCCAGAACTCTCATCAGACTGATGGAAAGATTTCCTGCCTGTGCTGAGATAAATGGATTTTTTTTTTTCCTGGAAACACACACGTGTGTTTTTGGTTTTTTGTTTTCATTCACAGTAAAGATTTTTTGTGGTATGGAAATATGGGGAAAAAGTTGGTATGTGTGAATGTTTGGATACCATTTTCATAAAGGAAAACTAAGTAGGTGTAGGAAACTATAGCTCAGTGATCTTGAAAAGGAATTTCGGTAAAATTTAATATGACTTAATAAAAATTAAAAGCTTATGTGCATTTGGGGATAAAGGCAGAAGTGACCGGAGCCAACATGGATTTACTCAGAAAAATTTGTATTAAACTCACCTTATTTTCCTTGCCGAGGTGGTTATTCAAGGGGTAGCTCTAGGTTAGTGTCACCGGCATAATTTATGATGATTTCAGGAAGTTATTTGATAAACACACTTAGATATCTCTCTAATGATAAGTGGAGAAATGTGAACTGAATGAGAATTTGGTTGGATAATGATTGTACCCGAGTATTAAGTAATTCATCATTGTCAACCTGGAAGAACATCTACCTTGAGAAGACACCTAGCTTTGTCCTAAATTCTGCAGTGTTCAACATTTTTATCAATGGTATTAATGGACAGAAAATATGATGAGCAAAATTACAGACAAAACTGAAATAATTTCTATGGTTGGCAGTAAAGAATCTAGTTCAAGATTTCAAAAGACTATAAAATGGACTGGTACTAAAACACTTAAATTTAACAAAGATGTATTTTTAAAACTCTCAGTCCTGTCTTTAAAAATTAACTATCCAAATATAAGAGAGGAGACAGGAAATTTTAGCTGAAACTAAAAATTCAGTGTGAATCAATGGTCTGATGTGGATCTTAATGAAATAAACAAAAAAAGAACTACTATAATCACTTTAATAAAATATGTCTTGTAGATCAAGGATATGACGATTCCACTGACTACTTCACGTGTGGAAAGTAAATTAATTCTGAAAACAGACATATTTGGTGGGGGAGCATTAATATGTTGAGATGTTTCCAGAAAAAGATTTGAGAAAACTGCTTCTCTCCTAGAACTCTGTAGAAATTATCTGGTAGTGTTATTTTCTGTGGAAAGTATTTTTCTATTTTAGGAATTGTAGAGAGTGAAGAAAATATATCCTTGGATTCCCTACCTGAATATGGCACCACTGAAAGTAAGACACAGGAGTCAGGAATGAGTAACCAGTAAGAGCTGGATTGGCGGATGGGGCTTATGGCTTCTCTACTGGGTTTCCTAAGATTTCATCTCTGATTTAGCTGAATATGCCCATCCAGCCACTTGAGTGTTCAGCTAAGCATCTACAGGCTTCCCCTACAGGTCCTCTTTATGTCCTAGAGCCAACCTGAATGTACCCATTTGATGGGAGGCAGACCAGAAGAGAGGGCCTCAGAGTGACTGAACTGAACCTGCTCAGTTCCTTTTTCAAAACCCTCCATTTTAGGTAAATTCATTCCTCTCCAGTGAGGAGTTAGGAGCAGGAAGAGAGGCCTGGACTTTTATTCAGGGTTGTCTCCTAAACTTGTTATAAATTCTCAAGACAATTTTTAAATATTATTTATTCTCTGGAGAGGCATAGGTTACCTGAAGAAGTCATCAAGGAGTTCCCTGTGGATGGCCTTCAGATCAATAAATGTCCATCTCCTGATCCCCTTTGAAGGAGCTGATAGCGCAGTAAGAGTTGGCCCTCCCAGAAGATGACCAGGATGATGAAAGTTTCGAGAGTCAAAGCAGAATAGGACCTGGGAACATTTAGTACAAAGAAAGAGACTCAGAGGATGTGGGATAGATTCTCCAAATAGTTAAAGGGCTGTTACATGAGAGAGCAGTTGGACATATTCTGTCATTCCAGGAGGCTGATTAAGATCCGTTTGTGGAAACTGCAGGCAGATCTTTGCTAAATACAGGATAAGTAAAGAATACAAGAATAAAATTATTCTCAAAGAGAGCACCTTTTCAGGCAAAGTGCACAAATACAGGCTGCCAGAAATGATGTACAGGAGATTCTTAGACTGAGCAGAAGGATGGATCAAAGTACTTCTGAGGAGAATAAACATTCTCCTTTCAGGAAGAGATGAACAGAGGCAGAGCTGAGCTGTGTTGTGGACAACCAAAGGAAAGAGGGGCATTCCCTACTAGACATAAGTTTATTTAGGTTGTTTGTTTTTTTTTTTTAATGAGAGAGATTTTTAAGAACGTCTGTCTTTGATAACTCAAATTTAAACTTCTAAATGGTTGAAAGAAACCGTTTTCTCTCAACTGAGTTAACTCTTTGTCTGAGGAAAAATCATCTCGGTGGGATAGGAGAAGGAGCATTGTTTTGTTTTTGCCTCTACCCTTTTAAACCTAGAAACACATTTATTGACTCAGAAACCACTTATATATCAAGAGCAAGACTATGGACTTAAAAAAAAAAAAGCAAAGAAATTAAAGTCAGTGTTAGACAGTGTAAGACTTTCTTATGTGTATGAAGTAACTACAGGACAAAAACTAGTGCGTGCTAAGTAAGTAAAAATGTACCCCAAGTGCTAAGGAAAGGCAAAGAAAGGAGGAAATATAAAACAAGCAGGTTGGGATAAATGAGATCCCTTTCAGCTACAATGTTCTTTTGATTACATGCCAGAATGGGTATTTGCGGGTCTTCTTAACGCCGAGATTGTCATGGATTAGTGGAGAGGAAGACTAGGACAGAGTAAGCTGGAGGAGACGTACTGCTATCCACGGCTCCTAGCATGATCACATCCCACACAGGACAGAAAAATAAGTGGCAGGTGTTTTTCCATTGTATCTTGATGTATTCTCTTGAGAAAGGCCATAACATATGATTGTTTAACTATCTACCTCCCCCATTAAGCTATCATTTCAATGAGGGCAAAGACTGCATCTATATTTACTCACCATTGTATCTCTCTAGTGCCTAGCATGGGAGATGTTCAATAAATATTTTTTCAAAGTAAGAATAGAACTAAGGGGTTTTAAGAAAATATAATCAATCATTAAGAATGGCTTTTTTGAGAGAGCAGAGGGGTTATTCTGGAAGCGTCCACTAATAAGGAGGTTTCTGGCGTTTAGGAACTCTGTGTTCACATAGAGTGTAGTCAAATAAAATGCCCAGTAAAACAGGGGACTCCTCAGATCATAGTTTTAAAAGGCATTGACCCAGTCCAATCTTTTCTCTACAGATGAAACTAGGTCTTTCTGTCTTCTATTTTACAAGGCCTATCATATTTCACTCACAGAGTCAAGGTCAGTTTAATGATTCCTTAGTTGTGGATGGGAATGTACCCAGGTTAGACAGACAGATGGTTTCAAGTTCCATGGTCCTTGTGCCAGGGCCCTAAGCTTTAACTCGCTGTAGAGCTGTCGCAAGTTGTCTCTCTGAAGCTGAGTTTCTCTCTAATCAGAACCTGGGAAAAGAAAAATGAATGACTAACTCGAACCTTTGGCTTTTCTCTTTTGAAGGGCCAGGCGCAAGTGGCAGATATTTTGGCCATCAACGGAACAGGGGAGGATCAGCCTCCACAGGACCTAAAGCGGCAGGCCTCTGCCAAAGAGTGTGGCATCCAGGGCCTGCTCCTGCCTGAAGACATGCTTTCGGGCGAGGAATATGAGTGTGTCTCACCTGATGACATCTCCTTGCCTCCACTCCCAGGAAGCCCCGAATCCCTCCTGGCACCATCTGACATGGAGGTGGAGGAGCCTCCTAGCTCCTCCTCCCTCAGCCTTTATCTAAGCAGCCTCAGGATGCAGACTGAGACCAGCAGTCCAGAGGAGGCCCAGGAACCTGTTTTGCCACCACCTGTGGCTTTTGCTGATGCATGCCATGATAAGAGAGAAACATTTTCAAGTCATTTTGAGAGGCCTTATCCCCAACTCAAAGCTGAGGCCCTATTAACCTCCCGGGGATTTCTGGAAAACAATACTGCCTTCTGCAGAATCAGTGCTAAACCGCCAGAGAGCATGCTGAGTGAAGTGCATGAGAGAGCTTTACAACAGCACCCTCAGGCTCAGGGAAGCTTGCTAGGAACACAGGAGAAAATGCATGCTGGTAATAACGTCACTAAAACCCGAGACAGGCTGCATGCTTCCCCTGGTGCCTCCTCAGGCCTCAGGTTTCAATCAGACAGCAGCCGGGGCTATCAGAGGCTGGTGGTTCCCCGAGAGGAGATTAAATGTACATCAACAAAGAACAGCGTGGTCAGCCTAGCTGGCCAGGCACCTAATTTCTCCAGGCTCCTGTCTAATGTCACTGTCACGGAAGGTTCTCCAGTAACTTTGGAAGTTGAAGTAACAGGATTTCCAGAGCCTACACTGACATGGTGGGTAGCCTATAACGACAAACCGTAGAACAGAAACAAATTGAGTCACTGAGGAAATCTGTGGGCACTAACTTAAAAATTTAGGGCTAGCTGATTACTATTCTACTACACTGTGGTTCTGCATGATTCAATCTCACATCAACCCCCAACTCTCATTTTAGAAACAGCATGGCTAATATGCTTAAGGAAAAAAGTAACCATATAAAATTATAATTTAACAAACTCTGAAAGCACTGCAAGTGAGTTGAGCTTTTTTTTTCTCCCAGTTTAACATTCCACATTTCTAAAAATTAGACACTGAAATTCTTTCCTATTGTCCGTTTCCACATAAGCATGAAATTTTCTTGGTTTAACATCCCTTATTCAATTAAAAACATTAGATTTTGGCTTTTTCCCTTTCCTGTCATTTATTTACTTCATTTTTTCCCTCTTCCCCAGCAGAGTCACACGTGCCACCTTTGTAATGTTTGGTTGTTTTACTAAGATTTCTTTTTATAAGTTTCTTCAGTGTGAAAGGTGGAATAAAAATCTTTCATAGTTGCCCCAGGTGACAGGTAATAAACTCATTTTGAAAGGTGCTGTAATAACTGAGCTGTGAACCATATTATTTCACTCTGGAGACATTTTTGTTTTGTTTTTTAAAACCTATTTGTTTTAGAAAAAGTAAAGTGCAGAATACAGGTTTTGAATAACCTAATGCTGATAACAGTAAAAGCAGTCCTAACTTTCTCAAGATGTGGGTTGCTTTAAATATTTAGAAATTTTTTATCCTTAACTAGATTTATTTTGAGGACAAAGTGACAAATATGTGAGAGAAAGTTTATACTTATAAACTAATATAAGTGAAATAGCATTTACCATATTTTTACACAAATAACGCACCCTCCCCCTTGAGGTATTTTCATAAGCATGCTATGCATATTACAAAAATACCTCTGGTGGGGGAGAGCACGGTTGGCAAACAAACATAGAAGACACACAGTATTTGCATGAAAATATGGTATTTATCATAACATTTCAGTAGACATGAAATCAACAGTTTCAATGATTGTGTGTGCCCATTGATGGTACTTGCAGTGTGAACCTGTTATCTATAGTGCTTATGAGAAAACTTGGGTTTCTCAGATTATTGAAAGAAACTATACTTGTCCTGATAGTGCAGCCATTTATGCTTTTGTTTTATTTTGTGGTTTTTACAATTGCATGTTTTTTACAAGTCTGAAATTTCATGTTTATGAATATAAAAGGTATTTAATTCATCATTAAATATCAGTTCACCCCACGGAGAAATGTTGTCTGAGGTTTTCCTTGTTTTGTCCACACAATAAATAACTTGTTTAGTATATATCAAAGAACCAAGACTATTGCAACATTGAGAAAAAAAATTTTTTCCAACAGATTCACAACAATTTTGCTCAGTTAACAACTGATAAGCTATCAGGCAGTCATACATTCTTAGGACACTCAGAAAAGGCAAATTTATTGCTTACTGTATTTTTACGCAAATAACGTGTGCCTTCTACATTTGTTTGCAAGCTGCTTCCCCGCCCACCCCCCCACCGTGAGGTATTTTTGTAAGTGCACTATGCTAATTTTTTACGAAAACCTGAAAAACTAAACCCGTTGCTGTAGAGTAGATTGCAACTCATAGTGACCCTATAGGACAGAGTAGAACTGCCCCATAGGATTTCCAGGAAGCGGCTGATGGGTTCAGACTGCCAACCTTTAGGTTAACAGCTGAACACTTAACCACTGTGCCACCAGGGGCATAGTGGCAGTTTACGAAAATACCTCGCAGTAGGGAGGGAGTGGCTGGCAGATAAACATAGAAGGTGTGCGTTATTTGCATAAAAATACAGTAGGTAAGGGGAGCAGATAATAATTCAGGTTTTCTGTCACTTTTTGTCTGGAAAAACTTAGAATACAAATAAATAAAGAAGAATTTAGAATAAACAAAATGAACAATTAGCTGCTTTATAAAAAGATGCAGCTAAGTGTTCATTTTCATAGGAAACTTTGAGAAACATGTCATTCAACAGTAATAATCCAATTGTAAAGATGCCTTTTATAATTAGAGATCATTTTCTTTTTCTAATGAAATTAATTCATAAAAATTAAATGAACTCATTTCACCAGAAAATGATGTGTAAGTTTCTTATATAAAATAGTAATTTTTGTTCTCAAGTGGATCTTTTGGCATGAATGTGATGGGCAGATGAGTCTCACTCCAACACAGATTCCAAGAAGGAGTCACAAGCTGTTGTTCCATAGAACAGTGAGTGAAGCAGGCCAAATATGAGGGCTCCATTTCCCACTCTAAGTAATTGTTGCCATGAGGGAATGGTAGCCCAGTGTGGTCAGATGGTCTGGTTTCTCCAGAGAAGCTGGATATCTGAATTTTCATAAGCAGTATTGCAATTGTCAAATGTTGTCCAAAAATTAAGTGTTTTAAAAACCTGGTCTGAGCCAATCAGAACATCTCTCTGGCTACCAGTTGTCAATCTCTGCTTGAAAGATAAACAGCCACATTAGAATTTTGTATAGCTGCAAAGTTCCTAATAGAGAGCATTACAGTGGCAGGAGCCCTGGTGTTATAGTGGTTAAGCACTTGGCTGCTAACCAGAAGGTCAGTGGTTAGAACCCATCAGCTGCTCCGTGGGAGAAAGACGTGATAGTCTGCTTCCATAAAGATTTACAGCCTTGGAAACCCTATGGAGCAATTTTACTCTGTCCTATAGGGTCACTATGAGTCGTAATTGACTTGAAGGCAACGTTGTTGTTTTTTTTGTTTTTAACAGTGGCAATGGGCCTATTTGCAGTGGTTTTTAGAACTTGGATATGATATCAATAAACAGTGACCTGACTTTAAATACTGACTCTCTGCTTCAGGTACAAGAAGGGCCAGGAATTGTCTGCAGATGGGCACTTACAGGTTTTACACAAGGAGACAAAGCATTCAGTGTTCATTCCGAAGGCATGTGAGGCAGATGCAGGCCTCTATGTGGCTCGGGCCCAAAACTCTAGTGGCACTCTCTCTTCCAGTGTCTTCCTCCATGTGACAGGTAACCGCAGGCCACCAATCGCAAGAATAAATTGGATAACACTATGTGTCATTTATGTTAGTGTGTCTTTAATGTACTGGCTACTCACACAGTAACTGGTATTGGCACTGATGGACGTCATTCTCAGGAGCCCAAAGGACAATACAGTTGTCTATTTTCCTGAACCTCTCACAAAGCATCCTCTGTCAAGTGTACCTCCACTCTGTCCATATTGCTAATGTGGCTAATACCACTGCTTGGTAAAATAATAGAATTTTCTTTAGTGATTTAATGTATTTGAGGAGCTTGGTAAATTATTTTCAGTGGATGAGGATATATTTTTGTACTCAAGAAAGAGATGTGTTCAGTATAATACACAGTAAAATTATGCCATATTTATTCCCTTCTAAAGAGAATTTAAAGACCTGTAGTTCAAGTCTCACACCATCATACAGATGTGAGTTAAATTTCAATTCCATTTGTTTGATAATTTATTTTTAATTATACTTGCAAACATCTCTTTGTAGGGAATAACAGTAGAAATATTTAACTGAAGTTGTAATTTTCATTATTGCATAAGCTATTGTTTAATTTTGATATTCATATCTTGATCTCATTTATTGAAATTCATTTTATATAGTTTGAACATAGACTACATTCCTGAGTCTGAGGATATCGCTATAAATAATCATTTCTCATGTTGATCTCATGGGTTTGACATTGGAGAATAGATGTGCTGTCAACTTTAAGTGGAGTTTCAAACTTCCATCAGCTCTGCATGTCATAGAGCAGGATGGAACACAGGCTATGGTAATGGACCAACTTTACTCCTGTCATTGCTTTGACGTGTTTTAGGTGCCATATATATGACTACAACAAGGTACAGTTTCTAATCTCTATTCTGCCGCTGACCATTTTTGCAGCCTGTGGTAAGGCATGTCAGTGCCTTAGTTTCCCATCTGCAAATGGGTTCATCATCTACCCCTCGGGTAACTGAGTTTTCACTGGCTGTCTCGTCAAAATCTGGGAAATGGAAAGCACTCTATGAAGACTAAGGGTAATTATATTGTTTTGTGTAATTCATCATCACACCTGCTTCCTGCCCATTATTTCTCTCTGCGATGCTGTTTCTTAAGAATATTAAATTCAAGGAGTGGTGTTAATATGTGATTTCTAACTAGTCCCATGGGGGGAGGGGAGATGATGTTTTACTAATTGGAGATTAAATTCCTTTTTAATTTCTTAAGACTAAGTACTTTTCAGAGATTTGAAATTAAACTCAGGAGGATATACTTAGAATGTTCAAGAAAAAAAGTATGTAATAAGATGATTTAAGATGAATTCTACCCTTCTCATCATTATCATTGTAATAATGAAGAGTGTTCTATGCCTTTTTGAAATTTATTATTCAGAAAAGAGGATCATCTTTTTGATTCCTTTTAAAAATCAGCATGAATAAGAGGGGCATTTGTTTTTCAAATTTTACACATAGTCTTGTCATGCTAGGGCAAAATCTTTAGTTGAAAGAATAATTCATTACAGATTTTTGATGAAGGGAAGGAATTAATTATGTTGCTGGAAGACTGTCTACAAATAATCAAAATATTTAAATGTAATATATTCAAGTCGATATTAAAAAGTTACTGAATGTTATCTGAAGATGTGAAATGTGTAGTCAAGTAAAAAGTTGGCATATTTTTCTTGTGCTGCATATTCAATTTTATTAATTTTTTCTCTTAATTTTATTCCAAATTTTAACAGAAATCTATTAAAAATTTATATATCCTAGAGAACTTAGAGTCTCTTAACTCTCCTATTCTTTTTGTCCAGTTACAAATATTTTATGTATCTTGCCTAACTGCTATTGCCCATGTTGATGCTAAAGAGTAAAACCGATTCATGTCCAAAGTGGGCAGGCATGACCAGGTAACAAATTCTCTCTTGTCCCACTGTCTATCCTTAGCTTGTTATTCTGGTGCATCTCCCTCCTCATTTTGTCAGTTTGGCTGGATTAGTGGTTTGGAGTTATCAGGGAATTGCTGGTTTGCTTTACCTGTTGTATGCTAGTTTTCGGGAACAGAATGGGATATACAGTAAAAATCGGGAAAACCGGAACCAATGTAAGGTGGAAACCTGTCAAAGAAGGAAAACTTAAGTATTTTCCACTGATATAGAGGATAGAAGAGTGGTAAGACACACCCTGTTAGAGGCAAAAACTTACCCAGAGAAACAAGGCAGTCCCATCGAGTTCTGGCTGTCACAGGTTTCACTGGACGTACATACATGGTTCATGACGAAAAAGGCATGTAAAGTCCCCAGAAAAAGACAAGGCTGGTGTATTTTCAGAAAGACTGATTCCTGGAATGTTGAATTAGGGACCAGAGAGATAGAAGGCTAGAAGGTTTTATGAGGTAGATGGGTAATTAAGACTCTGTTAACTGGTAAAGAAGAAACCTGGGTATTATCCAGAGATTAAAAAACAGTCAAGATTGACTTTAGTGCTTGGGGTAATGAAAACTGATGAAGGAATTAAGCAATATACCCAAATAGAGGGAAGCCAGAGAGGAGAGATGTTCAGAGGCCCCAAGGAATTGACCAAGGGGGACATTATATGCTCCTTATGGGGTATATATAGACCAGGCATTCCACCCTGTCTATTCCTTCATAGGTGATCAGAGTGCACAAAGACCTTCATCCACAACTGAATTTGAAGCCAATGTTTTTTGTTCAAAAATGGTTTAAATAGTTAAAGAAGTTTCCTTCTTGTAGAATCTATTATATCTTACTCAATCTTTTTATCATTTTCAAAAAGAAATTGAAATGAAAAGATTTAAAATTATTCAAATATAAGATGTGTGTGTGTATATATATGTATATATATGTAATATATATAATGAGACTGCTTCCTGAATTTTTAAATATCAGCATAGTACTTTTTCCCAATATTTGAGTCTATGTATGAGTGTATACATATATGTATATACTTATATTTGATGTATATATCAAATGTATATAGTTGATATATATATTTTATATATATATCAAGTTGATATATATATTTGATAGATATCAAATATAAGATATATATGTATATCCACATACACATATACATTGACATATATCAAATATATCTATTTAAGAAGCCCTGGTGATGCAGTGGTTAAGCACCCTGCTAACTGCCAAAAGGTCGGTGGTTCAAACCCACCAGCTGCGCTGTGGGAGAAATATGTGGCAGTCTGCTCCCAAAAAGATTACAGCCTTGGAAATGCTATGGGCTGTTCTACTATGTCCTAGAGGGTCTCTATCAATCAGAATTGACTAGATAGCAATGGGTTATACACATTGACATATATATCAAATATAAGATATATATGTATATACACATATGTACATATACCCCCCCACATGCATATATACAGAGCTCACATATTAGAAAAAAAATACTATGCTGATATTTAAGATATAGTTCAGAAAGCTGTCTGTGTATCTATTTATACCTATTCATTCAGACTATTGATTGACTATCTAATAATTCCCACAGCAGTAAAGAATAATTAGCCAGCTACTCAGTTATTCTTCTGGTTACATTTTTAATTTCAAAGACTTAAGAGTGATTTTCATTTTTGCTAGGACTTCTGTCTTGATCAAAGACTTCTCCTTATGAAAACTGAGGTTATTGGTTAAAAATACAAGATCTAGAAAATTCAAATAAATTTCTACTTTAAGGTATATATATGATTCATACCCATTTATTTCTGGAGAAAATTACTGACAGCTTGTAATATCAAAACACTTTTTCACAAGAAAATGAAAATAAAAAGAAAGATTAAAAATTTGTTCAAATATGAGAGTTATCGATATATATATACACTTGACATCTTGAGGTAACACAAATGTGTTTCTGAGCTTCCTTGTAGTCGAGCCAGAATCATTGGGTTTTCCAATTCTAACTGTTCAGTAAAAGAATGTGTAGATATCCAGGGATTCAGTTTTGTTCATGCTCAATTCCAGAAGAAATTTACTGTAAGACTCTTTACATTGAATAGCTGCATATTTTATAGTAACTAAAATATTTGGGAAAAAAAGAAAAAAATAGCAATTTTATTCAATAATGGTAAACATCATTTGAAGTTGTCAAGGATTTCATTCTACTTGTATTAGCAATCAACAGCCATGGAAGCAGCAGTCAAGAAATCAAATGACATTGCACTGGGCAAATCTGTGGCAAAAGACCTCTTTAAAGTGTTTAAATTTCTTTAAACTAGCGCACAAGGCCCTTCACTATTTGGTTTCCCCTCCCCAGCCTCTGTACCATCCCTAACTCCCTGCACTCCAGCCACATTTAACTTCATTTAGATTTCTTTCTTTTCTCCATTCCTACTTTCTGCCTGGAACTCCTTTCTTGCATTCTACATTCTACCTGTCTTCATGTGGCTTAACTCCTGCTTATCCTTCAGGTTCCATTTGAGACACAACATTCCCCAGGAAAGCTCTGACCCATCAAGTCCAGTATAGATGTTCCTGCTATGTGTACTGTCAGTGCCGGGGCTGTGCAGGTCATGTCCCTTAATACACAGCATCAGAATTGTGTGTTTTGAGCGTCTGTCTCCTCTGGCTGAACTGTGAGCTCCTGATTAGCAGATCTGTGAAACCTTGTTCATCTTTGTATTCCCAGTATAGTCATACTCAATATATATTTTTTGAGTTGAATTGTTGAATGTGAACAAAGATAAACCTAGCTTTTTTGGGTGGGGAGTGTAGAGACATGTAAAGAAAGAAATACATATTTGTTTTCTAATTATTCTTCCTTATTACGGACATTAGCCAGTTGGAATCAGGTTGTAGCCATGAAGTATGTACCAAGCACATTCACCTAATTTACAAATGTAACTGAGAACCTTCCAGCTCCTCTGAGCTAGACCCTGATTGAAAATTTAAAGTTAAAAGTAGATATTGACTCCTGTGGTCAAATTAATACTGAGGAGGGCCGAGGAAAGATCCAGGATCATTGAGCCAGCATTTTTAAACAGATGTAATCAGGCATAAATCATCAACTAGTAAGTGTGAAAGTGGGTGCCTCCACTTCTAGTGACTAAGTCAAAACTGCCAAAACCAGAATGTATGTACTTCTTTAGAACACTACATAAATTACCGGTATTTTAGTGTAGCTGGGGCTCAGTAAGCTGATTGTG